CGCCAGCAACAGCGGCCCTCAGCACTCCCCACGGCGCCACCTGACACACAGCAGCAGCAGCCACCTGACAAAGACACAGTGGAAGAACTGGAGGAGGAACCGGGCCAGGGGGCAGCCAGCCCTAAAAAGCCGTACCATGAATGGCACGGTGACCAGAGAATGCGGGGCAAGAGGTTCAAGTCTGCCGTCCAGCTGGCCTTTGCACAGAGAGGATGGCACAAAGCCGACCACGAGACATGGAGAGGGGTTGCATGGATGGTGGGAATGAGCGAAGACCAAGAGGAGGAGGAGTGGGAGGCCATTCTCGAAGAAGGGCGCTACCAGAGCGGCCGACAGACAAAGCCAGCAACAGGAGGGGGAGGGGCCAGCTCCAGCACAAACACCTACGACTGGGCAACAGCCCTCAACCTCCACAACCGGCCGCGGGGGACACTCACCCCAGAGGAAGGACAGAGACTGCAAAGACCTAAGCCTCTGCAGCCCAACAACAACGACCCCAAGCCCAAAACAGCTGCAGCGGGGGACCCGAGACGGCGACGAGACGGCCCAGCAGCGGGGACCCAGACGCAGGAAGAAGCCGAAGCAGATGAAAAACCACTACTTTGGGACGGAGTGTTCCATACCATGACCATTTCCACAGGGGGGGCCACGAGACCGCTGACGTTCCCGCCCGAGATCCCAACTACAACGGGGGTCGCGGTGCACCTGCGCAGCTTACCGCATGGAGTGTGGGCTGGGGTGACAATGGTCGTGGGCTCCCGCAGAGCTCCCGAATACCACGACGCCAACCGAGGCTACTACAGAGCTCGCTTGAGCAGACGGCAAGGGGGGGCAACGCCAACAGGATATATGGGGGTGGGGACAGCCTTCGTACTCTTCCCTTGGGGAGCCATAAGAGAGGGGGTTCCGCGAAAGTGGTTGCTACACGTCACAGCCGTGCAATCGGCCCCTGATGAGGCAGCAGCCCACATGATGGCGGGGATGAGCTTCACACTCGAGCAGAGACCTGGGGGGCCTTGGGAGCTAGGAAGTCTGCCCCCCAAGCTAGCCCTTCAGTACTACTATGACTGGGGGAACATGCAGAACACGGGCGCCATAGTGGGAACCCTGCCGCGAACTTCAACGATGCCACCGTCACAGTGGGAACTCATGGCACAGCAGCTCATCCCCCCCCCCGACCGTCCGAGGTGGCCTGCAAGGAACCCCACCTTCCACGCACCACAACCTGAAGCAGAGGGGGGAACACAGGAAGAACAACCACCGAGAGAACCACCACACGACCCCGCGCAGGAAGGTGAGGAGGGGGACGCAACGCAGCTCATGCAGACACACACGCAGCTAGATAGTGTAGCTTCTTCCAGCCATGGAGCGGCGCCAGCAAGCTCCCGACGTGCAGGGGGGAACATGAAGCTCAGCAACGCGGCGGCAATGGTGAGACACTGGTTGCGTGAACTCGCCGCTCTGCTGCAAGTGTACCCCATGGGGGCAGAGATCCCGCTCATGCTGGAGCAGGCCATGGAAGCAGTGAGGGGATGCCGTGAGCAACCAGACCGGTGGCAAGACAATGGCACAGTGGGGGGCCCAGGGCCTGTGAAGAAGAGGAGGGTCATCAACTACCTGGCGGTGGCACGAATGCGACTGCAAGACCTCTCCGACGAGACCGTGGTGGGCGGCGGCGCGGACCAACAGAGGCTGTACGAAGGACTACAGAGAGCTCTCCAAGACCTACGGCTGGGGGAGATTCTCTACCAACGCGCCACTCAGGGCCAGTGGGGTCACCAAGTACAACAAGGACTTGAAGGGCTCCTACAAGCTCAGCGTGCAGTGGAAAGAGCCATGGGGGACACGACCGTGGACGCACTGGACTGGCACGTAAGAGGATGGGGGGACGCTGTTGCAGTACTGCTTGAAGACGCAGAAGAACTCCTCGAAGAAGAGGGGCAGCTGGACTTTGTGCACCCGTCGGACGTTGCAGCGCTGGACGAGGGAGCCGAAGAGTTTCCTCCACCCAGACCGGGGTCACCAGTGCAAAGGCTCGGAACGTTGATGCGAGACGTCCAAGCAGTCATGCACTTCGTGACGGCCGGGGGGGAACAAGTCACCGCTCTGCTGGCGGCTTTGCTTGCGGAGCAGCAGCGCCGCGAAGGGGGAAGCATCCAAGTTGAGACCCAAACCACAGATGGGGGAGCCGAAGAAGATGAAGGGGGAAGGCCAGGCTGCGAAAGACCGCTGCTCACGGTGCAGCCGCAGCCGCCACTCACCAGAGAACAATGGTCTGGCAGCATACCATCCTCCACAGGGGGGGATGACAGCCAAGTCGACGAGCCGGTATTCCCCACGGATGAGGAGCTACTGCAGGCCATGGAAGAGTTTGAAAGACAGGAAAGTGAGGAGGCCCTAGAAGCTACGAGAACAAGAGGGGGACACGAACGTTCTGAGAGCAGTGACAGCCACCGTAGGCGCAGGGCACATGCGGACATGGGGGACTAATGCCAGTTCCTGTCAGTGTGATATGTCAAGGTGTACGTTTTGGTGCTAGGGGGGAATACACTATGCCGCATGCAGCCTTGATAGCAAGTGTTTCGGCCGGGCCCTCAGAGTGTTGTGAGTGTAAGTGCATGTTCCGTATCTGTCATGTTGATGTTGCTGCAAGAAACAAAGGGGGGCCTGAACCTGAAATAGGACCTGTCCCTGCCTGCACTGTCAAGAATGGTTCGGTATCTTATATGTCGTGAGCAGGCATGGGGGTTTAGCTGACAGGCGGTGCAGTCTTTTTCTCTCTGCCACACCAGATGAGGCAGTCACTGTATTGCCAAACAGGGGGGACTCCACACAAACCCGCATGTTACTTCATTGATCTTGTGCATTGTAGGGGTGTGTTGTGCTGATGCAGTGTGTATGCTGGAGTCGCCCAGAGCCCCCAAGAGCTGTGCATAAAGAATATGCTGCGAACGGGGGAACGGAGCCGGTGTGAGCCTGATGAGGCCAGGGGGTTGTAGTTTCCTAGGTAGGGGGTTCTCTGCTCGGAGCCCGGTGTCCTCATCAGGTGTAGCAGTTTTACTGAGACCAAGCAGACAGTGCGCGCTCGCGCGCAGAGTGCGGTGCTGTGCCGTGCTCTTGACTGTGTGGAAGAAGAGAGAGAGAGAGAGAGAGAGAGAGAGAGAGAGCATCAGGGCAAGGGGGGCAACCATCTTGTCCCTAGCCCTGGCGAAAAGAAAAAGCATCAGCCACCGAGCTATTGGCACTCGCAAAGGGGGCGCACATGCACGCGGTGGGGAGGCAACTCGCCACCACAGCCCTGGCGAAAGAAAGCATCAGCCACCACCTGTTCGTACCATCGCACGATCGTAGAGTGTGACCGTCTTCCTTTATTCGCTGATGCCAAAGGCTTTGGACGAGCCCAGTCGCTGAGGGATGCATTCTCCATGTTTGGCAACAGGCGGGGGCGCACTCGCGCGCGGCGGGGAGGCAACTCCCCACCACAGCCCTGGCGAAAGAAAGACAGAGAGAGAGAGAGAGAGCAACCACCTGGGGCAAACTTCGTCCCTTTCTGCAGCGGTCAAAGATGACCCCAAAGCCGACCACTCAATAGTAAAAAGAGTGGTCGGGCGGGCCAATGGCCTGAGGGTCCCTCGCGGACCCCTACACCCGGCAGAAAGAAAGAAAGAGAGTGACAGAGAGACGGAGTGAGATAGATCGATGGACATGCACCTCGAGCGAGGGTTTGGGTTACCCTGACTTTAAGTGCAGTGGAAACAAACAAAGAAAGGAAGGAAGAAAGCAAGGAAGCGAGAGAGAGAAGAATGCACGGGGGGCTGTGGAATCTTGCGTTTCGCGGAAAGACGAAGTTTGCCAAAAGAGCTGTCCCGCACTGCATTGCGTCTTTCCGTGGTGCTTGAGTTGTCTGCAAGCGCAAGGTCCGACGAAACTCTACCGAAGTCTACGTTCTGTCTGTTGTCTAAGCCGAGTATTTGTCCGCCATGCTCCCCCTGAGGAGCGAGAGGAGGGAGAGAGAGAGAGAGATAGCGGGGAGGAGTGACGTGACGGCTGAGTGCAGGGAGGGGAACGGCTGAGCCCAACCGTGAAAACGGGGATGACTTCAGAAAGTGCGACCCTGGGGGTAGGCCTCTTTTCCCTGCAGTTCACCACCATACCTCTGGCAAGCAAGAGAGGAGACAAAGCGGCAGTTTCTCAGGCTGTGTTAAAAACAATAAGATAAAGAGAAAGACAGGGAAATAACAAAATGCAGCTACCACTGACCACCACACGTGCATATATGGTACTGGTAACATATATTGCGGCTATGATATATTGGATGAGGCAGCAAAATGTGGCAAACTCGAGTTTGTCTTCCCTTTGTGGTTCAAACTAGAGCAATGTTGGCCACAGCTGCTACTGTTTGTCGAGGAGGCCACAACTCCACACGGCTACGACCATGCCCTGTGAAAAGGGCATGCGGGCATGCTGTAAACGAGGGTTATGTCATGTCTCAGGAAGACGGGAAGAGACGGAGATGCAGGGAGAGAGAGAGAGAGAGATCTTTTTACGGGCTCTGACTGTTGTTGCCCCTTAAAG